CGCACTTTTCCTGAAGATAGAAGAGTTTGTTGAATCTGACGTGACATGTTCGTATGAACCCTTCGTACGAACAAAAGTAAGAGAAATTTAGGAGAAGAATACGAACATGTTCTTGCATGAGGCCCATTGTGTGTGTACTGTATAAGGTAATAAATAGATTAACTATAATAGATTGACTTGTTTAGCATATTAACTCTCAAAAGTGATAAATTTTCTTTTTTAATCTATTAAATAAACCAGATCCAATGTGCTCAAAGCTTTCTTTTTGTTGTTTGTGCATTGAACGTGCACAGTTTGTGCCTTCTGACAAGTGTTTGCTGTTTTGCTATGTTTGCGTGCAGGAAATAGATGGTGCCGGGGGAGCTTTTGGCCTCAAAATKTGGACCTACCGGGTGCTGCTGGAGCTAATCCACTGGGCCAATCATGCCGCTCAGGCCCTTCACGTTTTACACTTGGAAAGGGAAGGAACAGAGATCTAAATTCCTTTATTTCACTCCCAGCAATGTTTATGAACAAATATATTCAGCACTAACAACCAGCCTATTTTCACGTATTACTAATGAACTCCCCCAACCCTCCAATAATCTGTGAGCATTTGAGGTGAAAATCAACCCAGYTAAACCCTTTTTAACAAAGCCAAGTAAACAGCTTTTCCCAGACATTGGCATTTCCACAGCACGTGTCAGCGTGACCTCTARTTTGCCAGTGTTTGGTTCTTCTTTGACGCAAATCGTCTTTGCAGTGTTGTTTAAACTGGTTTATTGTGATTTACTTAGATTAGATTTTTTTGTATATTGTGCATAAATTATTCAATTTAGAATAACTTATATTGTTTATAACACTCCAAAAATCTACTAACTGCTAGAATTTAACCAAACATTTATGACAAACTGTGACTTATATGCAGATGAATGTGTATGTGTGTTTACTGATGTAACAGGTTTTGTAGCTTTTAATCTAAAAACACTATTAACCTCACTAACCTAAATGATTGTGAAATCAAAATTGTCATTTAATGGAAGCTTGCCGTGTGCATGGTTTTGATGTAATCTGTGACAAAGTGTCATGTTTTGCTGCTCTGTTCTCCAAAGTTTTGTTTTTGTTGTTTTCTCCTGATGTTATACTTGAATGTGTTGCTGCTCTCCACATTTGGATCTGACAGGCCAACTTCACCATTTATCTCCTTAGAGGCCAGAAAACTGTTTTGAGAACTACTGTATTAGACTGATATTCTACAGTAGCACTGTGATGTCTGTAGCCAAATGTATCAAACACTCTGTAACTCAMAAAGTTCCACTGTAGCTAGAAACTGCACAATWATTAACTAACAAGTCACTTCAGACAAAGTAGATTTTCTGTGAATTTGTGTAGATTACCTGGATGTGTGTTGGAGATTAAAAACATCATCCTTATCCTTATGTTTCATGAGATTTGTTTAAACCTCCTGTTTAGGTTTTTGAAAAAACTTTACTGTATGCAATTGCATCTAGTTTTTTTGTTTGTTTCTTTGTTTTTCATTACCCTTTCTAAGGTCTTTCATAGCACAGTGAGCGTACAAATAAACAATTTTACATAGCAAACTATGCAACTATTGCTTTGCATACAGAACTTGGCTAATTTGCAACCCTTGTTTTTGATTGTAGGGACTTTGATAAAATTTTCAAACATATTTTAGAGCTGTTTTCCCTTTTTTTTTACTCGTAAGGCTCTATGTACAAATTCCATAACTATTTAGTTTTTTAAAATCGGACCATCATTTAGGATTTAGAGGTCTTTAAATGTTGAAAATTAGGAAGAAAGTGCTCCATTGCCTTCCATTATACCATTGGAAAAAAAGTGCGGAGCTCCGTAGATATAGTGCGGGTCACAGCTTCGGAACGATTTTTCAAACCAAAGCAGAAAACAAACTAGATAAAACCTTAAGATAGATTACGAAATGCWAAGCGGRGRCTAAGCATGAAAACGAGCGAAAAAGAAATCACAAAAACCTGACCCACGCACTGTCGGCATCGGGCAGCGCATTTATCAAAGTCCATATTGATTGGGCTCCTAAAAGAATAATTRGCAAATCTTAAAGAATTCTGTAAGATTCTTAGTAATCAATGCCTTGTCCATATGGAAAAGCAGTTTCTATTATTTATATAAGTAACCTTTGTAAACACAGTCTATAAAGGCTTTAAACCAAAACACTGAAAATGACCCAAAACTGTGTAGTGACTATGCCAGGCCTGCATGTGGCACTGTAATGTCATACAAATACAACAACTAGAAACAAGGTGTGAAATGTGCTAATAAAGCTTATAAGTGTACATTGCAAACATRCAAAGGGGTTCTAGTTCCATTGTTTCAAATGCAAGACATTTCAAGGTTTTTTTCTTCTCAAGAACCTGTTTTGGAAAAATCTATGGTAACCTTTAGTATTAGCTTAATAATAGTGTACGTGGAAAAGAATGATTTAAATTCTTAAAGATAATTGTATTGGTAAAGATATATTTTCTTATTA